AATAAATATAGCACTTTACATTTAGATAATCCGAGAAAATAATTCAAAATCATGTACAACATCAAAGCATCGTGGAACGATACTTACTCCGGCGAGAAATTGTTATTTCTGGTATTGCTGGCAGATTTCCTGGTTCAGACAACATGAATCTGTTACGAGAAAATTTATTTAATAAAATTGATCTTGTTAAAACAGAACATAATCGATGGAAAATAGGTGATCATTTAATTATATTTATATAGTTTTACATTATAATTTTAAATTTATACCTAATTTGTAGACAGAACATGCCTTCTTTTGCACTAATTGTAATTATATATTTGATATTTATATGGCAAACGAAGTGTCCTCCAATATTTAACAATTTTATGATTAATTAATTACAACGTTCGCGATATCCGCGGAAAGTGGTCGTTTAGATGGTCGCGGAAACTTTACAGTCTTGTATTTAATTAACAAAGATGATCGCAAGCTCCGAAACGCTATCGTTTAAATAGATGTGAGATATTTAACAATTTTATGATTAATTAATTACAACGTTCGCGATATCCGCGGAAAGTGATCGTTTAGATGAGCGCGGAAGCTTTACAGTCTTGTATTTAATTAACAAAGATGATCGCAAGCTCCGAAACGCTATCATTTAAATAGGCGCGAGATATTTAAGAATTTCATGATTAATTCATTACAACGTTCGCGATATCCGGAATTTGGAAGTTTAAATGGACGCGGAAATTTTACTGTCTTCTATTTAATTAACAAAGACGATCGCGAGCTCCGAAACGCTATCGTTTAAATAGGCTCGAGATATATTTAACATTTTTATGATTAATTAATTACAACGTTTAAGTCTTGCTCATTTTTCATTAGACCATCCAGAAATTCCAAATAGAATGGGAACAATTAGCAATGTGGAAAAATTTGATGCGGATTTCTTCGGATTATCTTTCGAACAAGCACATACACTCATTCCCGAAACGAGATTGTTACTCGAACATTCTTATGAAGCAATAATCGACGCAGGAATCAATCCAAAGCAATTACGAGGAAAAAATACTGCTGTGATCATAGGAACAGCTTTTAATGAGTCGCAAAAGAAATTTTTATATGAGACCGCTCAGGTAGAGAAAATTATTAATTAATATA